CCTCCGCCTTGCCCCACAGGAGCCTACGAAAGTGGCGACGGTCGCGCAGTTCGCAGAGGCTGCGAGGTCTCAAATGGATTTGCGCTGCCCTCGACAGTCGCGCAGTTCGCAGCCCCTGAGGGAGCCGTGAGGTCTCAAATGGATCTGCGCTGCCCTCACCTCCGCCGTGCCTCCCATGGAGACCGCGAAATTGGCGACAGTCGCGCATTTCGGAGCTCCCAGGGGAGCCGCGAGGTCTCACACGGATCTGTGATGCCTCACCTCCGCCGTGCCTCCCACGAGCCCACGAAAGTGGCGACAGTCGACCAGCTCGCAGCCCCCAGGGGAGCCGCGAGGTCTCACACGGATCTGCGCTGCCCTCACCTCCGCCGTGCCTCCCAGGAGGCCACAAACGTGGCGACAGTCGACCAGTTCGCAGCCCCTGGGGGAGCCGCGTGGTCTCACTCGGATTTGTGCTGACCTCCGCCGTGCCTCCCAGGAGCCCACGAAAGTGGTGACAGTCGCGCAGCTTGCAGCCTCCCAGGGAGCAGCGTGAGGCAAGAGGAGGGGGGAGGAGGAGGAGGAGGAGGAGGAGGAGGAGGAGGAGGAGGAAGACGGGGAGGAAGACGAGGAAGAAGAGAAGGAGGGAGGAAGTAGCACTTCAGACCAAAGTGCTCGATTCAACTCGAGAACTCAACACACACACACACACACATAAGGCTTCGGAAAAAAAACGCAGTCGGATGTATGCGGAAGGAGGGATATCCTTCTGCTGTGTTCGTGGTTTGCTTGTTTGTGAGGCGTTGGCGACGAATTCGTCGACGCTACCTCGTCCTCGTCCTCGTCTTACCCCTCCTGGCTCGAGGCTATCTGCCGGTTGTCTGGTTATTTCGTCACTGTCCTCGGTTCAGGAAGGCAAACTATTACCCTCGACAAGATGAAACTCAGCAATGTGTCGCGCCGTTTCATTGTCGATGTGATGTCCTTGGGTCGGTTGACACTGTGCGCCAGGTAATTACTTGTGGGCGCCCCCTCTCCAATGTCGGTCATCATGGAACTCCTGAATCGCACCCGCCCAGAGGCAATTTGCCATGCTTCGACATCGAAGGTGCGACATTGCATGGGCAAGAGGGGGCGACATTGAAGTGGCGCGTCGAGGGCTGGCCGTGCGGAACGAATGCGCAGACGAGGTGGCAAGTTGGCCCTTGCCCTTGGCCATTGTCGCGCGCGCCTTTGTATTGTTTTTGTTGATATAAACTACGGTCTCCAGGAGCCATCATTATTTCGTACTCCAGCATACTGACCCGTAGTTGCACAGTTTTCTTGTTGGGGTCTAAGTTATCATAATACTTGTTAGCTTTTAAGAAACATCTAGCTACTCGAACAACTACGGGTCCATCCTGAGCATCAGGGCACAATGCCGGACGCTCCTGGGGGCGCAGTTGCTGCAAGTTGCATTGCTGCCGGACGCCCCTGGGGGCACAAAGCCGGACGCTCCTGGGGGCGCAGTTGCTGCACGTGGCACTGCTGCGTATCTCATCGCGAATATTCCGCTGCATTGGGCGGGTCGCGTCGGCGCGAGCAGCAGCTTGGGCGCTGTCCGTTCTGGCCGTGTCCTCGCTGCGGGGGGGCGTCGAAGCCGAGGGCGGCGAGGGTCCAGCAGGCCCTCTGAGCCCGGACGGCGCGCGGAGCAGATTTGATCAGAAGGGCGAAGGAATGGAGTCTGTGGGGAAAAACAAAAAAACAAAAACACACACGGTGGACAAACAAACATACAACAAAAAACACACACAAAAAAACACCCACATAGCTCAGGCAACCTGTGGGTGAAGCGACGCAGTGAAAATCCCCCATGGTCAGAGTCCCGAGTCCTCAAGGCTGGGGACTATACATTCGCGCCCCGGCGGCCCAATCCAGAGATACCCCGGACCGCAGTTGTCCCGGATAACCCGGGCGTCCAACCCTCTCGAATCATCAGGGTTGGGGGCGGTCAGGGGTAACTACAGTTTCGCGCTTCGGGGGCCCACAACTGGAGTTACCCCGGATCGCAGTTATCCCAGACAACTCTGGCGTCCGAACGAAGAAATTCGCCACGAACTCAGCGGCAACGCCACCAATAATAGGGTAATTGATCTAGTTCTGCCTTGACACATACGGCTCGTCATGCTGGCTGTTGTCAGACTGTCCCGTTTTACGAATTCGGCTCCAACACCGTGGATTCTTAAGGGGATCGCATATCTGTGGTACCCACGGCCAACAAAAGCTCAATATTGTGTCGCGCAGTTTCTCTGTCGATGTGACGTATCGGGGTCGGGTGACACTGCGCGCAAGGCAGTTACTCGCTGGCGCCTCCTTTGCAATGTCAGTCATCGTGGAACTCCCGAGTCGCACCCGCCCAGGCCGCGTTTCGCTATGCTTCGACATTGAATGGGAGCGATCTTGAACGGGTGAGAGGGAGCGCCATTGAAGTGGCGCGTCAGCCACGCTCGAGGCGAATGTTGTCGAGGGTCTCGTCCCACTGCCACGTCGCCGCTGGGGGTCTGCCGGCGTGCTACTCACTCGCAGCTGTCCGAAAGCATGGCGCCTCCTCAGCAGCGCGCTGCTGGGCTCCCCCAACGGCGGCGCGTCCCTCATCCGGTGCTCGCCCCTTCCTCGGCGTCGCCTCCCCGGCTCTCGACGTGTGGAGCTGCCCGTCTGTTGCTGACCGGTGTTGCCCTCGATGCTGCTGCTCTGGCTCATTACGCGGTCGTCGACGTCACGTCGTCCTCGTCCTCGCCTTCGGGGCAAAGTTAGGGGGGGGGGATGGGCTCATGGAGGCATGCGTCGAGCATAGATCGCACACCCATCGCGCCCAGAAGCGAACGGAGTCGCGATGGGGGGCCTAGCGCCGACCTGACGGCGATGTCTCGTCGATTCTAGGTCGATGGTTTCCCCCCCCCTTGCGCCAGCCCCCCTGTCGATGCTCCTCATCGTCGTTGCCTTCCTTGCTCTCGAGAGCTTGATCTTACTTTCGTGTGGTTGCTTGTCAGATGTTGGCCACGCAGTCCTTGATGCCCCTTTGTGTTCGTCCTTGTTTCAGGGGCAAGGCCAGGGAGGGATAGGCTCAGGGGGGGATGCGTGGAGCCTAGATCGCCCACTCATCTCGCTCGTCGATTCCAGGTCGATGTGCCTCCCCTGAGCCAGTCCCTCCAATCGGTGCCCGTCATCGTCATCGCTGTCCAGGCTCTCGAGAGGGATAGCCATCTGTCTGTAACTGATTTGGTGTGGTTATTAGTCAGTTGTTGGCGACGATGTCGACGCCGCTTCGTCCTCGCCCTCGTCCGCGTCGTCGCCCTCCTTGCTGTCTGGAGGGGGAGCCATCTGCCTGTGTGCTTTCATGCTGCGTGCTTATTTTCAAGATGATGGCGGCGAAGACGTTGACGCTACTTCGTCATCGTTCTCGTCGTCGCCCTCCTGGCCCTCGAGAAGGAGGAATATATATATATATATATATATATAGTTTTGATGTTGTACATATTTGTTCGTTTGCTTGTTTCGAGGGCTCTTGGAGCCTCCGGAGGCCTCCAGAAATTCTGGGGACCCCAGTAGGCAGTGGAGACCTCAGTCGTCGTCTTGTCCTCGTCCTTGTCTCGTGGTTGTCTTCGCGTCGGCCTTCCCTCGTTTTTCGATTGTGGGGAGACCCACCAGATTTCTGGCCTGGCGAGCAAACCACGCGACGGACCTTCGCCGTCACAAGAGCCATGTCGCCGGAGGTGTGGAGCACACGAGGCCCACATGTGACCTTGGCAAAGACAGAAGCGAAGAGGTGAATTCCGAGTCTCTTCTCTTGGCTTTTCCTCGGCCTCCTGGCGATCCAGAGTCGCGTGCGGGAGAGCGTGTGGGAATTAGGATGGAGTAGGAGGAGGGCAAGAAGCACGAGAAGGAGGAGGAGCAGGAGGAGGAGGAGGAGGAGGAGGAGGAGGAGAGACACATCAAACGATGAGCAGGAGGAACTGGTAGAGACGGACTAGGATGTGGAGGGAAAAGACGGAACGAAGGGGAAGAACGACGACGAGAAAAAAGAGGAGGAGGAGGAGGAGGAGGAGGACGAGGAGGGGGCCGAAAGAGGATGGTGGAGCATGGGGAGGAACGCGGAGGATGGAGATGATGAGGATCAGGAGGATGGACGAGGAGAGCCAGGCAAGAGCTTGGACCTGGAGGATGGAGACGGGCGAAGCATGGAGGCGGAGGAGCCAGGGCATCCCTGCCTCCCTCTTGGCTCGCCTGCAGGCGGGGCGGCGCCGGACGACGTGCTTCCCGAGGCCACGCAGGAGCCACCGGCCGCGCTAACACCAGCGCCAACTGACACAAGGCTGGGGCGGCGCCGCTGGGCGATCGGCGGCGGCGGCAGCGGCAGAGGCAGCGTGCGAGGCGGCGGCGGCCACGGCGGCAGCTGCAGCGGCGGCGGCAACAGCAGGAGCCGAGGCAGCGCAGCGGCACCTGCACCAGCGCCTGGCGCTGACGTTGGCACCGCTTCCAGCACCTGCGTGGTGGCGCCAGTGTGCGGTCGGAAACTTTGGCTTCGTGTGTCTGGCCGCCACTTCTGGCCAATCACGCTTCGACGCGACACGCTATCCACTTCCCAGCCCTCTGGCGTCCGGCGTCAGCGTCTCGAGCCTTTCCGAGCCTTGCGCCCCGCGGAGAGGAACGACACGCAAGCCGCTCGCACGGCATAGCGCGTCGCGGGGGGCGCCATGGCGACACGCTAGGCAAACAAACGTCCACTGGCGTAGACGCTGGCACCTGCAGTAGCGACATTCGCTGTAGGCACGAGTAGCAAGTACGTAGCATACAAGTCGCGTTCGCGGTCGTGTTCTGGCATGCGCAGCTGCACTGGCAGCAGCAGATGGGGGCAGTTCCAGGCTCTCGCAGGAGCGAGCGCCGCCTGCGTCGACCGAGAGCTCCCGCGGTGCAGGTGCCGCGTGGATGAGCTGCGTGCAAGTGCTGCGCGGAAGAGCTGCAGCGTGGGGCTCCGGCAACGCAGCCGCTCGGGCTCAAGGCTTGCCGACTCCCGGCGGCCGAGCCGGCCACTCTCGGGGGGGGGGGGGCGCCAGGCTGCCAGGGGGGGCACGCTGCGTGTCGGCGCTTGCCCGCGAGGCCCACCCTGCCAGGCCGACCACAGCGGAGGCCCATGCCAAGGAACCCCCTGCTTGCCAAGAGCGCCCTCGAGGGCGCGAAGTTCTTCGCGCTTCGCGCCTCGCGGTTCGGCTCCGATCCCTCCTCCTCCTCCTCCTCCTCCTCCTCCTCCTCCTCCTCCTCCTCCTCCTCCTCCTCCTCCTTTTTCACCCCTGGGAGGCGGCGCGAGAGCGCGAAGCTGTTCGCACTCCGCGCTCCGCGCAGCGCGGAGCGCGAAGTTGGGAGCTCCTGCTTCTCCGATCCCTCCTCATCCTCCTTTTTCACCCCTGGGAGGCGGCGCGAGAGCGCGAAGCTGTTCGCCCCCCGCGCCCCCCGCGCAGCGCGAGAGCGCGAAGCTGGGAGCTCCCGCTTTGCCTCCGGGCTGCCCTGGGCACCTCGCGGGGGCCTCGGCGGCTCTTGCGCGCGGGGGAGCGCGGCGCTCCCCCGCGCCAGAGAGGCCGTGGACGCCCCCGCGGTGCCGCGGCGCAGCCGGGCCGCTCGGCGAGGCGCTGCGCGCGTGCCCGGCACCGCGCTGCTTAAACAACAGAAAAGACAGCTCGGGAGGGAGGAGGAGGGAGGAGGAGGAGGAGGAGGAGGAGGAGGAGGAGGAGGAGGAGGAGGAGGAGGAGGAGGAGGAGGAGGAGGGAGGAGGAGGAGGAGGAGGAGGTGGAGGAGGGAGGAGGAGGAGGAGGGAGGAGGAGGGGAGGAGGGAGGAGGGAGGAGGGAGGAGGGAGGAGGGAGGAGGGAGGAGGGAGAGGAGGGGGAGGGAGGAGGGAGGAGGGAGGGAGGGAGGAGGAAGAGGAGGGAGGAGGGAGGAGGAGGAGGAGGAGGAGGAGGAGGAGGAGGAGGAGGAGGAGGAGGAGGAGGAGGAGGAGGAGGAGGGGGTCTCGGGGTGGGGTTCCCTGTGGAGGCTTTCTCTTGTGGACTATGGGCTCCGCTGCGGGCCTGCGCCCGCTGGGCACTGGGCCCGGGCCGTGTTTTTGTCCGTCGCTGCGCTTAGGATGCTTCAGCCTGCTTGAGCCTCGATCACCAGAAAGAATTTCGAGCGCCAGAAAAAAAGAGTACCGAAACTCAAGGGTTTTCACGTGTCGGGCCCTGGGAGGCACTCGCCCGACACTGTTTCGACACTCTTTCGACACATTTCTGGGTGCTCGAAATTTCTGGGATGCTGTCCTTAAGTAGGATGGGAACAACATAACACTACGCGTCAGGGGCAGCGTCAGGCGGGGATAGGCTCAGGGAGGGACGCATCGACCCCTAACCCATCGATGAAGAAGACTTTCGGGAGGGAAAAAACACACAGGCACAATGAATCGTCGATTCCCCAGAAAATACACGAAACTATGGGAAGTGGAGGGAAGACAAAAACCCAGAAAATATGGGGGGTGTATTTCTTTGTGTGTTCCAGGGCCAGTTCCGAATCGCCATAGACATAATCTTCTGGCGCTCCGCGCAGATTTCTTGGGTCTGCGCCAGCCCCCCCCCGGCGGCGCCTCCGGCGCCCCCCTAGCGCGCTCCGCGCGCCAGGGACGGGCGTCTGGCGCAGATCCCAGAAATCCGCGCGGAGCGCATCATGTTTAAGTTTAAAGAGGTTTAAATTCGTGTTCTCACCCGCCCCGCACTGGAGCGTGCGGACTTGCTATCAGGGGCCTTTCGCCGATCTGTCGGCGACGTAACGCCGATTCCCGGTCGATGTCCCCCCCCTATCGTTCCCTGTCAGAGGGGGCGTTTTGCCCAATGGGTCCTTCTGCTCACCCCCGAGCGTGGCTCCCTTGTGCCCCTAGCACGCGCTCTCGCGCCGTTTTGCGACCCTCGCGCCGCCCCTGCGCCGGCCATGGTGGTGCCCCTCGCGGTGACCAGCGGGGCCGCCGACGTGATGCCGCCCGAGGAGTCCAGGACGTACAGGATGCTGCTCGGGGGCCTGGCCCTTAGTGGGCCCTGGAAACGACAGGGCCGTTTTTTTACCGGTTCCGTTTTGCTGTTTTTTTGCCGGTTCCGACGCCGTTTTTTTTTACCGGTTCCGTCGCCGTTCTTTTGCGGGTTCCCGCTCCGGCTCCAATCCTGGAGATGTTTTTGTTGCCGTTTCCAGTCGCCGTTTTTTTGCCGTTTCCATTTTCAAGGGACACTTTTTCGGAAACGGTGAAAAAACGGCCCTGCCGTTTCCGGTGCCCACTCAGGCCTGGCCGTGGGCTATTTCATCGTGATCGTCATGGGGCTCTTCGCTCGCGGTGAAAAGAAACGGGGTGCTGCGGTTGTTATTCGCCCTTTCTCGGGCTCCCTGGACGGAGGCCCCCGGGGCCCAGGACCCTTCTCCACAGCACTCAACCTTGCTTGGAGTGGGGGGGGGGGAAGCGGGCAGGGGATTGTCATGTGCTTCGCTCGCTCCCGCTCCTTTTCTAGGGGAACCAAAAGTCACATAAACATAAAAAACTCGGAGGTCCGCGCGGATTTCTCGGATCGGTGCTGGGCCCCCATGGAGGCGCCTCCGGCGCCGCCTCTGGCGCGCTCCGCGCGCCAGGGAGGGGGGTCCAGCGCCGATCCGAGAAATCCGCGCGGACTTCCGAGCTTTTATGTTTCTGCCACTTGCTGTTCCCCTATTATCCTCCCAGGCACTTAGTTTTTGTTCCACTTCGCGTTTGCTTGTATCCCTCGAGACCCGTTGAATTCCTGCCAAGGCTCGTGTCGGGGTCCGTCGACAACGTCATCAACGACATCTTCGTGTGCGTGGTGGCGGCCGCCATAGCCCAGGACGCCCGGCGCGTGGGGCAGTGCAGCATCATGTTCGCGATCTTCGCTTGTTTGGTCACGATCTTCAACGTCATCCAGTTCATCGGGCTGCTCAGCGCTAAGAACACGATCGAGAGCCCCGGCGCCTCATACCTCTTCAGCCTCGACTGCCCCTACGACGTGACGCTCAAGGTGGGCCAGGCCACGAACGTGACCGTCACCAGCGACGGCCGGCAGATCACCCTGCCCCAGAACTACGATGGGGTGCAGTTCCACTTCGAGCACATGTGCAACTGGCGGTGGGTCGTCGGCAACGTCTCGACGCTCCTGAGCCTGCTGCTGGACCTGCTGGCCTCCGCCATCGGCTGCAAGCTGTGGCGCACGGTCAGGTGATGGGCCTGTTTTCCACCACCATCACCACCGTAAGTTGGAGGGAGGAAGGAGGAGGAGGAGGAGGAGGAGGAGGACGAGGAGGAGGAGGAGGACGAGGAGGAGGAGGAGGAGGAGGAGGAGGAGGAGGAGGAGGAGGAGGAGGAGGAGGAGGAGGAGGAGGAGAGGAGGAGGAGACGGACCCCCTTCCCCCTCCAACCTGTGGTGGTGGTGGAAGACAGGCCCAGCGTCAGGGGCGGCGTCGGTGGCGACGGCGGGCTGCTGCAGGGCCCCGGGGGCGGCATGCCGGGCCCGAGGGCGGAGGAAACCGCCCGCTCCGCTCTGGCGGAGGGGCCTCCGCCCCCCTTCACGCAGTGGCGAAGCGTCCTGGCTCGCCTACAGCCCCACCAAACAATGTTCTAAGAGCCGTTTGCGGTTTCCACGCAATGTTCTCAGAACATGTCTGGTTGATATCGTCTCGTTTTAGCACATCGGGTCTATGTTCTAAGAACCTCGTTTTCGTTCTTAGAACATTTTTGGGTTCCGAGAACATTTCGTGGTAGGACTGTAGGCATGCCGGGACGGTCGGTCCCTGCTCAACCCATTCGCCCGCACCAATCGGGGGCAACGATACACATTGCTCATGTCTAATTCTTCGATAGTTCTCTGATTTTTGTAGGGGGGAGCAGGATCCTTTTATCTCTGACTGTTCTGTGCTGGGCCTCTTCCTGGCCACTATAGGGGGCCAGGGACAATCGGAAACGAGCACACTCAGAAGTGAGCACGACTAGAAACTCAACGGCGCGTACGGAGGGGATGGGCACAGCGAGTGGGGGGACGTAAAAAGGGGGGACGCATCGCCCCCCAATCGCCCACTCATCGCCGACAGGAGACCTCCTAGTTCCCCCTCCCCACACAGGAAGGCGTGCCGATCCGCTTTCGGGTGCCCATCTCAGGTCTATCGGCGATGTTCAGGAGGGGAAAAACACACAGACACAATGAATCGTCGATCCCCAGGAAAAATATAGGAACATATGGGAAGTGGGGGGGGAGACAAAAGCCCAGAAACTATGCGAACATATGGGGCATCTTGTTATTTGTGTGTATTGAGTTGTGTGTCCCAGGGCCCCTTCAGATGTATCGCCGATTCCGGGTCGATGTGCCCCCCCCCACATGCCAGTGCCCCCCCTCTCGCTGCGTCTTTGGGGCGTACGCCGAGCCACCCCCATGGGGCGCGAAGGCAGGCGTGCTTCGCGCATCGCGGCTTCTTTTCGGGGAGAGGCGCCCTCCTCCAAAGGGCGGCGGCGCGAGGGCGCGAAGATAACCTCACGTCTGCGCAGCGCGGGGCGAGAGGCGCGACGCTGGGTACCCCTGGCAAGAGCGGCGGGAGCCGATGCCTGGAATGCCCTCGCCATGGTGGGAGGCATCGGGCGAGGAGCCCCCTGGTGCGCCAGACCCCGGCAAATGCCTTCCTCCTGCCGCGGGGGAAAAAATCATGCAGGCGGCTCCATGAGCTTACGGTGGGTTCACGTCGTGTCGACCGGCTGCGACCCAAGCGCGGACGTGTCAGGTTGAACGCCGCACGTGGCGCAGAATTGGCCCATCGTTAAAACGCTGTGGCGTTTCTCAAAGGGCCGATCGTTCGAGCTTGAACGATCTCCGCGGTGTCAGGAGCCGACGCCGGGGTGGACACGACGCGAACCCGTACCACGATGTGCCAGACTGCGAACTGACCACGATGCGCCAGGCTGCGAATCGGCACGCGAGCGGCGTAGGAGGCGGGGGGGGGGGCGACCTGCGCGGTCATCCGAGGCTGCCCGCGCGAGGCCGTGCGCAGGGCACCCCTCTCCTCCAGGCAGTGCGCCGTGCGAGCGGCCTGCGTCGGCTGAGCCAGGGGCAACGTCAGGGGGAGGAGGAGGAGGGGGAGGAGGGGAGGAGGAGGAGGAGGAGGAGAGGAGGAGGAGGAGGAGGAGGAGGAGGAGGAGGAGGAGGAGGAGGAGGAGGAGAGGGAAGAAAAGGAGGAGGAGGAGGAGGAGGAGGAGGAGAGGAGGAGAGGGAGGAGGAGGGGGAGGGGGATGATGTGAAAAGGAGGAGGAGGAGGAGGAGGAGGAGGAGGAGGAGGAGCTGGAGGAGGAGGCGGACGAGGAGGAGGAGGAGGAGGAGGACAAGGAGGACGAGGAGGAGGAGGAGGAGGAGGAGGAGGAGGAGCTGGATGAGGAGGAGGAGGAGGAGGAGGAGGAGGAGGAGGAGGAGCTGGAGGAGGAGGTGGGGTGGGGGGGGGACAGGCCCTGGGGTGGATGCATCGACCACCAATCACTCGTTCATCGCTGGTGGGCCGATGGGGGCCTGGTAGCTCACAGCGCCCAGGAGCATGCGGAGTCGTTACTGGGAGCCTATCGCCGATTCGTCGGCGAGGCATCGCCGATTCCAGCTCGTCGCTTCCCCCCCCCACTGAGCCGATCCAACCCTGACGTTCCCCTTCGTGAGGGCGCCGCGTCTGGGTGCGTCGGCCCGTGGCCGCTCGCGTGTAGAGTGACACGCCCCGCCACCCCGTTCCACGGCCTCCAGCCCTTCCACGCCCCCCCCCCCGAGCGGGACCTGTGCGCCGAGAGCGAGGCCCCCCCCCTTTCCCTGCCACTGTGCCGCCCAGGCGCGGCTTTTTTCTCGTCACTCGTTGGCGAGGGCGAGAAGCAACGAGGCCGCCCCTCCCGAGGCATGCCGCCCGCGGGCGGCCCGGGCGGCGGCGGCGGCGGGCCAGGCTTCGCTGGGTTCGGCGGGCAAGGATACCTCCTCCTCTTCGTTTTCATCCTCTCTCCCAGACCTCTTCCTCTCCCTCCTCTTCCCACTCGAACGGTAGATCTGCCTTCTCTCTACCCTTGAAGAGGATGTTCATATCTCCCTCTGGGAGGCCCGAATCGTCTCCCTGTTCCATCGCCTGTTGGCTCGGGGGCACGGTCGATTATACCTTCCGTGCTCGATACTGAAAACGTTTTGTTCCACCATTGCGCATCCCCTGCTTAGATGGTACAGGAGCACCCCGCACCGCGACCACTCGCCGCCAGCCATGGCCCGCGAGGCTCTCCACCGTGTTCGCGGCGAGCGCACTGAATCGTGCACCCACACTGCCCGCATCGTGATCGCGTTGGGAATCCACCTCGCCCTGGCAAGCGCCGCGCCTCAAGGGTTTGGCGGGGTCTTCCAGGCCCAGCCGCCAGTACCGGCTCAGGTGGCCCAGTGCACCTACCGCAACGAGCACAATTGCCAGAAGGACCGCGCCCCCAACCCACCTGCTATTCCCTTCGGGTGCTTTCGCACTGTGTTCGAGATGCTCGGGGCCCTGACGCCTTCATGGCACCCGCCCGGGAGCGCCGCCTTCAGCATCAGACCGGCAAGCGATACCACTTCCACGTGCACGGTGTCGTCACGGGGCCCCGAGCTATTCGCAATTATGTTGCGGGAGCCCGCGGGGGAAAAAGCAAGGGACGCATCGCTTTCATGGCATCCGAATTTGGGTGTGACTGGCCATGTCAAGCAACCGTTCGATCCCACGCTCACATCGTCGGCGCCGGCAAGGCGCCCCGATTTGTCCGCGACTATGTTGTGGGAGCCGGGGGATGCGCATGCAGACAAGAGCGGGAATACAGGGGAGGGTCGGGCACCTATGTCGCCATCCCTCCAGGGGGGCGTTACACAAGCTTGAGGCCATGCGTCATCGGCTCTCCAGGACATGATCCTCGATGTTACCTACGCACTCCCTACTTCTTGGCAGACCTGGATCCCTATGCGCGCGCCTTTTGTCTACCTTGCAGCTGATTGTGTTCAGTCCATTGACACTGCGACGCACGGCAAGTTCTTTCGACACCGCGTGGCGGAGTGCTCCGAATGCAGCCAGCGCTGCAATCACACGACAAAAGAAAATACTTAATACGTTGTTGAGGAGGAGCAGAGCAGGGACAGATACACGCGACGGTTCCGGGGATCATTGCCAGAACATCGCCGCTTCTGGGTGCCAGGGCTGTCGCGCGTCCTCGACACCCAGAGGACGCTCCACTCTGGATGGAAGCCAACGGAGTGGGCAAGGCCGCCGCCATCAGGTGCATTGCCTGCGTAGACGCGGGCGGCGGTGGCAGCGGCAACATGCGACGCCTCTGCACCTGGGGGCCCGAGCAGCAGGCTCGCGTGCCCTTCCGAAGCTGGGCGCGGGAGGTAATCGTTTGGTCAGTGGCGAAATCAGACACCAACGAGTTTCGCCAAGCGGCCTACGTTTCGTCTCGTTTGACCAGCATGGTTCGCGAGTGCGCGGACGAGTGGCCACCGGTTGTCTTCATCCAAGGTGGCTAGATCAACGGCAACCCAGCACCGCCTATGACCCACAACGCGCACAGCTTGGCCGAACGGTGGGGCCAGCTGGGAGAAGAGGAGCGCACACTGGAGGTATCGGCTATGATGAATTCCGACCGATTGCCGCAGAAGTGCATCGACAATTTCTTCATCAGGTTCGACGTCCTCCGCAACAGAGCGCAGCAGACCGGTCAACTCATGATCGGCCACGAGGGCTTCAGCAACCTGTTGCCGCGCGCGGTGGGCGCGCCGAACATCTCAAGCTCACCCTCATCCTGCAGACCTGCAACGTGCCCTACCCGACGGACGCACCACAGCTGGCACGCATCATGGGCCAGCTTCGCTGATCTGGACTGGATGAAGCTGGGATGGCGTGGGGCCTTCAGCCCTAGGAGCAGCACCGAGTCCACCTTCAGCACCATTCGCCGCCCACGCCAGCACAGCAGCAGCGCCGCAGGCGGCGTATCCAGCAGCAGGTTTCTCTTTTGGCACCACTCCGACACCATCAGATCATTCGGCCAAGATATCATTGCCGACGGCCCCGAACTGCGTGAAATTCCTATGGGGCAGCGCGGCGCACGCCTCTTTTGGGCCTGCGAGCGCGCCAAGTGCCCAAGCTCACGCGCCGCGCGCGGAGGGTCCTTAACCGCAAGGGCAAGGGCCACGGAAAAGGCTACCGCGCCTTCCTGGCCGACTTGTCGGACAACGACCTCCGCGAAACCTTCGCCGGTTTCGGGAAGGGAAGGGTTAAGGGAAAGGGCAAGCATGGGACCAGAGGGCTGAGATATGGCCGACAAGGCACCCCACTGGGCCCGGGCGGGACACATCCCAAGTGCCACGAGTGCGACTCAGAGGAGCACCTCGTGCGCGTCTGTTCCCGTCGTCGCCAGCAAGGGTGATGATGGTGATGGTGGCCCCCCTCCTCCCCCTCCCTCCACCCGTCCTGAAGCCCACCTATCCCCTCTCGTCCCTCTCCTCCCCCCTGCCTCCTCGAACACCCCCGCCTCTTCCCGCTTCCTTCCCCCCCTTCCTCCTGGACCACCCCCTGTTCTGCCTCGCCGGGCCGATCGCCCCCTGCCCGTGCCGCCACGGGCCGCACCCCCCCCACCCGAGAGGAAACACCCTCGGCGGGGGGCCGGGCGCCAGGGCCGCGCCCGGCGGCCCGGGCCAGGTGGCCAGGCAGTCTCAAAGGGGCTGGCTGTCGATCGATATCCGGTCCTCGAGCAGTGGCGGAGCGTCCTGGTTTGCCTAAGAGGCCCACCAGGGAATATGCTGAGAACCTTGCGTGGTCTGCGCGAGATGTTCTTGGAGCACTTCTGGCTGCGGCTGGCTTGTTCGAACACATCGGCGGTCTGTTCTAAGACTATTGATCTTGGTATTCGAACAAGAGTGGGTCCTGAGAACATGTCGCGGTAGGCCTCTAGGAGGGTCGTGACGGTCGGTCCCCTGACATCCTCGATCTTCGAACCTCGACCCTCGAACCTCGAAGGGCGGGCCTGGCGAGTTCCAGAAAGGGCCTGTTCGACCGGGCGGGGCGAGGGCCGCGTCGCCCAGTGCATCCTCCAGGCCGCCTGCGGGCTGTCAGGACTTCCCCGCTGTACCCCGACCGGATTTTGGTTGCCCGGTCTTGGCCTGGGTCGGGCACAAGTTCGGGGGCGGAAAAGAGGGGGGTGATGACTAGGGGGGGGGGGGATATCATGGCGGGGGTCATGATATTTCCCCAGGTTTCATGGCGCCTCTTCTTATTTTATTACGTCCCTGGTCCCCCCGCTGGGCCGCGCACATGCCGCCTGTCATGATTTGCACCCCCCCCTCTTGGACACCCCCCTCTTGGCCGCTCCCGACAAGTCAGATGGCGCGTTCCAGAACGGGCCGCGAGAGATGCGCACGTACTTTGATTCGGGTTCCCAGAACTAGCCAAATGTTCGCACGGTGCATCGACAAACTGTTGCACCACCTGGCGCGGACAATACAGCGCATCGCTGTTCTAGGAGTGTTTGTTTGCCACCCTCCCCCCGATCTTAATATTGGGTTCAGTCCGGGCTGGTTGAAACAGCTCGGTGGTGCAGCGGTGAAACATTGTCGGGAGCCCCCGGGCGGCCCGAGGGCTCTTCGCCACGCGCCCAATCTTAAGATCGGGGGGAAGGGGGGAAAGAGCAATGCAGTATAGGTGCCACTGCATGTCGAAAGCGGTGCAACATGGTCGATGTACGGTGCTGATGCGCCACAGACCTCTTGGGGCGCGTTCTGGCCAGGTTGCCGAGGCGAGCCTGGCCGTAGCGACGAGGGGCCCCACGGGAGGCCCCTGACAGGCGAAGCCGAGGAGTGGACGTCGGTATCGGTGCGAGCTTCTCCCCAGAGATCCCAAGCTCCCCCCAAAAAATGGAGCAGGCGGTTTGGGGTCGGCCTCTTTGGGCCCTCGCCGGGCCTCGGGAGCAGGGACCGACTCAGGGCGAAAAGCCGGCCCTAGGGAAGTGGTCCGGACCAATGGGGGCCACGCATCGAACAACATAGGAGCGGTGGTTGAGTTTTGCCGAGGGTTGTTTTTCCTGTCGCCAGCATGGCCGTATTATTATCCCAAGCTAAGAGACGTTTTTCCTTCCCTTTCATCCATTCCTTCTCCTTACAAATAATTTCTCCCATTCGCACCCCGAGGCCAGCTTTTAGGGCGGGCGGGGCGTTTCGCCTGAGACTTCCTCACCATTTATGATTCTGAAGCTTAAAAGATGACAGCAGCTTCACAGATGGAGTGCGGGTGGTTTTCAACCTGTGGCTCTCGTCTTAGCGCCGCGCACATTTGCTGTAAGAATTCTAGATGCTTCGCGTAACCCCACCAGCCCATTCAGAAGCGATGCCCAGAGGAATTGCCTCGATCAGGGAAGTGGGCAGCACACAGAGGAAGGGTCCCCCAGTGGAGGCCTATTGGAGCGTCTTGGGTGCCTCGGAGAGCTTCTTGGGGCCTCTTGGGGGTCTCTTTGGAGCATCTTGGAGAGGCCTCTTGGGCGCCAATTGGGGCCTTCTGGGCGCCTCTTGGGGCCCTCTTGAAGCGCTCTTGGGAGCCTTGGGAACACTCTTGGGGCCATCTTGGAGGACATCGATCAAACAAGAAGCGAGCATTAGTCAGCGTTGCCCCTCGGGAGCTCAACAAATCGCCTCTTGGGGCGCTCTTGGGGCGCTCTTAGGCGCTCTTGGGGCCGTCTTGGGGCTCTCTTGAGTCTCTCTTGGAGCCCTCTTGGGTCATCTTGGAGCCATCTTGAGGCCTCGAAGCGAGAAGGCGAGAAAGCCAAACACATAGATGTTCCTAAGGTTTTGGCCTCTTCGGGGCCTCCTAGGGGAGCTCTTTGGCCACTTGGAGCCGTCTTGGAGCGTTCTTGGGGCAGCTTGGAGCATCGTGGGAACCATTATGAGACATCTCGGGATATCTTGAGCCATCTTGGACGTCATCTTGGGCTCTCCCAGGCGCTCTTGGAGTCATCTTGATCAGTGCCCCCCCCAAAGAGGCCAACATGTGGCTAAAACCATCGTAGAATTAACGCTTTGGCATTATCGCCGAGGCCTCTTGGAGCATCTTGGGTGCCTCTAGGGGGTCTCTTGGGGCCTCTTGGGGGTCTCTTGGGAGCCTCTTGGCCACTTCTTGGGGCCCTGTAGGGGCACCCTTGGGAGCTTTGGCAGCCATCTTTGGGCCATCGTGGGTGAGATCGATAGCAGGAGGGGGGGTCACTAATTAGGGCCCCCCCTTTGGAGGCCAAAATGGGGCCAACACCTTCGTAATTTGGCTTCCTCGCCGAGGCCGTTTTGGACGCTCCGACACCTCGCGAAACCCTTTGTCCAGGTCCAGGGGATGGGGTGGGGGGAGGAGTCAAGACGCCCTCCCAGCCCGCAAGCCGCCTCGCTCACTCCCACCCGCGCTCCCAACACGTAGGTCGCACCCGAGCCTGGCCCGAGCCGCAGCATATGCAGCAGTCGTCTTTGGATGGGCAGCTACTGGGGGCCAATCCGCCGCCGCCGCAGCCCCCTCCGACGCCGCCGCCGCCGCTGTCCGCCGCCGCCGCCGCCGCCGCCACCGCGCCGCCCGCCGCAGCCGCCGCCACCGCCGCCCCCGCTGCCAAATCGCCGCCGCCGCAGCCGCTGCCGCCGCAGTCGCTGCCGCCACCGCCGCCGCCGCCGCCACCGCCGCCGCCGCCGCCGCCGCCCCCGCCGCCGCCGCCGCCCCCGCCGCATCCACCGCCGCAGCCGCCGCAGCCGCTGCCCCCGCCGCCGCCGCCGCCGCCGCGAAGTGTGTTCTGTATTGTTTTTCTGACAGGGATGGTGGGGGGAGGCCGCATCGGGTTTGCTGCGCATGTTTCGAATTTGGAGACAGAGTGTGGTTTGTGTTGTTACCTAACAGCGAAGACTGATAGGTGTCTAGTGGTCTCAAAAGAGAGCATCATGACTCCCCAGGGGGGTCTGGGCAGATGCCGGACGGGTGCCGCGGGAATCCGGGGATCCCCGCGGGAACCCGGGGATCCGCGCCGGATATGGGCGAACTCAGTCGGGGGTGCCCTGGGTGCCCGCCTGATATGGGGGAACTCAGTCGGGGGTGCCGCGGGTCCACGCCTGATATAGGGAAACTCAGCTGACGGGTGCCGCGGGTTCTTGCCTGATATGGGGGAACTCAGTCGGGGGGGCCGCGGGTGCACGCCTGATATGGGGGAAGTGAGTCGGGGGTGCCGCGGGTCCACGCCTGATATGGGGGAATTCAAGTGGGGCTGAGGCTGAGGCTGCGGCTGAGGCTGAGGCAGGCTGAGGCAGACGCTGAGGCAGCATCCGAAAGCCCATGAGCAGTGAGGAGGAGAGATGCCTCCTGTCGAGCGCCACGGTGTGCTCAGGAGGAGGAGGAGGACGACGACGAGGAGGAGGAGGAGGAGGAGGAGGAGGAGGAGGAGGAGGAGGAGGAGGAGGAGGAGGAAGGAGGAGTTCGAGGAAGGATACGCAAGGTTTTTCTCAGCGGTTCCGGCCTCTGGAGGCCCAGTTGCGGGGTCCAGGACGTTTCAAGATTTGCCTTCATGGCGTCTGGCCTCTGGAGCCTCAGTTGCGGGGATCCAGGACGTTTCAATATGTATACATCTGTATGTACTTATATGTAGCATGTTTTGAATATGTTTGGTATAATTTGGGGGCATTTTTACCTAACAGCTTTTGCTGATAGGCTTCTCGTGGTCTCAAAAATAACATCTTGACGCCCCAGGGGGGTCTGGGCGGGATCCGGACAAAACCGGACAAATCCGGAAGCCAGGAATCCTTAGGAATCTTCAGGAATCCTTGGGAATCCATTCCTAGAACACCATTCCCAGGCCACATTCTGAATTCCCGGAGCCAACTGTAGGTCACTTCGTGTTCTTCGTCTTCCCAGAGCACCATTCCCAGGCCTCTTTTTGAATGCCCGGAGACAATTCTAGGTCACTTCGTGTTCTTCGTCTTCCCAGAACACCATTTCCAGGCCATATTTTGAATGCCCGGAGCCAACTGAAGGCCACTTCGTGTTCTTCGTCTTCCCAGAACCCCAGGCCATATTTTGAATGCCCGGAGCCAACTGTAGGCCACTTCGTGTTCTTCGTCTTCCCAGAACACCATTCCTGTACCATATTTTGATTGCCCGGGGCCAGCTGTGGGCAACTTCGTGATCTTCGTGCCCCCAGACACCAGTCCTGTGCCATATTTTGAATGCCCGAGCTGAGGCAGGCTGAGGCTGAGGCTGAGGTTGAGGCTGAGGCCGAGGCAGGCTGAGGCTGAGGCTGAGGCAGGCTGAGGCCGAGGCAGGCTGAGGCTGAGGCTGAGGCAGGCTGAGACTGAGGTAGGCTGAGACAGAGGCTGAGGCAGGCTGAGGCTGAGGCTGAGGCTGAGGCTGAGGCTGAGGCTGATGCAGGCTGAGGGCTGAGAGGCTGAGAGGCTGAGAGGCTGAGAGGCTGAGGCAGGCTGAGGCTGAGGCCGAGGCAGGCTGAGGCTGAGGCTGAGGCTGAGGCTGAGGCTGAGGCTGAGGCAGGCTGAGACTGAGACTGAGGCAGGCTGAGGCTGAGGCTGAGGCTGTGGCTGAGGCTGAGGCAGGCTGCGGCCGAGGCAGGCTGAGGCTGAGGCTGATGCAGGCTGAGGCTGAGGCAGGCTGAGGCTGAGGCTGGGGCAGGCTGAGGCTGAGGCAAGCCGAGGCAGGCTGAGGTTGAGGCCGAGGCAAGCCGAGGCAGGCTGAGGCTGTGGCTGAGACTGATGCTGAGGCTGAGACAGGCTGAGGCTGAGGCTGAGGCAGGCTGAGGCTGAGGCCGAGGCAGGCTCAGGCCGAGACAGGCTGAGGCTCAGACTGAGGCTGAGGCTGAGGATGAGGCCGAGGCAGGCCGAAGCTGAGACAAGGTGAGGCTGAATGGGGGGGACAATGGGGGGGGGAGGAGGGTAGGCTGAGGCAGGCTGAGGCCGAGGCAGGCTGAGGCAGAGGCAGGCTGAGGCTGAGGCTGAGCCAAGCCGAGGCAGGCTGAGGCTGAGGCTGAGGCTGAGGCTGAGGCAGGCTGAGGCTGAGTCAGGCTGAGGCTGAGGCTGAGGCCGAGGCAGGCTGAGGCTGAGGCTGAGGCAGGCTGAGGCTGAGGCCGAGGCAGGTTGAGGCTGAGGCTGAGGCACGCCGAGGCAGGCTGAGGCTGAGGCTGAAAGTGAGGCAGGCTGAGGCATCCGTAGGAATCCATAGGAATCCTTAGGAATCCATAGGAATCCTTAGGAATCCGTAGGCGTCCTTAGGAATCCGTAGGCATAGTTCAGCATCCTCAGAAATCCTTAGGAATCCTTAGGATTCCCTAGGATTCCTTAGGAATCCCTAGGAATCCCTAGGAATCAGGTTTCCTAAGGATTCCAATGGATTCCAATGGATTCCTAAGGATGCCTAAGGATGCCTTAGGAATCCCTAGGAATCCTTAGGATTCCATTGGGTCCTAAGGCCGTTGCCACTGCGACTGTCATTGAGAATGCGACTGCGACTGCGAGAACAGCAGAATTCTACAACTGGATTCTCACTTGAATCTTAAGAGGAGTGTTTCCAGGTATGCTTATACACGTCGCTGTCAGGTTGCTTTGCCGGGATATTTTTTACAAGGGATGGTGGGGGCAGAGTGTGGTTTGTAGTGTTTTTACACGGGATGGTGGGGGGGCGCGTGGACTTGGGTTGGTTCCCAGTCGCCTGGGGGAGGGGGTGTATATTAATAGGGAACAGTGATAAGCCCCGCCCGAAGGGGAAAAAGGAGGGGTGGAAGAGGAAACTGTCTAAACCACCTACGCCCAGAGGGCACGGATTGAGGGCGGATCGTTTTCAACATGTGGCTCTCTCCTTCGCGCCGCGCAGGTTCGTCTTAAACATTTGAAAGAGCTTCACGGATTGAGGGCGGGTCTTTTTCGAAATGTGGCTCTCGCTTTAGCTCCGCGCACATTCCTTTTTCAACATTTGCATGAGCTTCACGGTTGAGGGCGGGTGGTATTCAAAATTTGCTCCCGCTCTAGCGCCGCGCACATTCGTTAAACATTTGCAAAAGCTTCACGGATTGAGGGCGGGTGGTGTTCAAAGTGTGCCGCGCACATTCGGCACATTCGTTAAACATGTGCAAGAGCTTCACGGATTGAGGGCGGGTCGTTTTTAAATGTGATTCTCGCTTTAGCGCCGCGCACATCCGTTTTGAAACTTGTCACACTTTTTGACAGATCCAGGGCGGTTCCTTTTCAAACAGTGGCTCTCGCTTTAGCGCCGCACACATCGCGCACATTCTTTTTTATATGGAAAATATTGCAAGAGTTTCGCAGGTTCCCATGATCCAAGTACCAGAAGTTGTGTGTTGGAATGCTTCAGGATTGCGCGGGCGCAACAGTTATATTGATTCGCTGTGTTGAAGTCAGCAAAAAAACGGCGTTCTGGCACGATTCTGGATCGTCAAGACGCAGCAGTCAGGTTGATACGTGGCGTTGAAATCCAGAGGGAAATGTTTGGGCACGCTTCAGGATCCTCAAGCTGTTATCTTCCAACGAGGCAGTTCTCTCAAAGGAAATGAACCGTTGTAGGGGCCTATGAAACCCGAGCTTGGAGCAGGGTTGATTCCAACATCGCTGATGGCTCTTGGGTTTCCACTGGTCCTCCTCCTCCTCCTCCTCCTCCTCCTCCTCCTCCTCCTCCTCCTCCTCCTCTTATCGTCATTCCTCCTCTGAGGGCTCCTGATGTAGCCCCTCCTCCTCCCCGCAGACGAGGAGGGAGGCATGGAGGATTCGGAGGAGGAGGAAGAGGAGGAGGAGCGGGAGGAGAAGCAGCAGGACGAGGAGCAGGAGGAGGAGGAGGATGAGCTGCAGGAGACGGAGGAGTAGGAGTAGGAGGAGGAGGAGTAGGAGGAGGAGGAGGAGGAGGAGGAGGAGGAGGAGGAGATGGAGGAGGAGGAGGAGGAGGAGGAGGAGGAGGAGGAGATGGAGGAGGAGGAAGAGGAGGAGGAGGAGGAGGAGGAGGAGGAGGAGGAGGAGGAGGAGGAGGAGATGGAGGAGATGGAGGAGATGGAGGAGGAGGAGGAGGAGGAGGAGGCCGATGAGCCGCTGCCAGGTGGGCGGCCCGCGCGCGGGTTTGTTCCAGGGCCAGGGGCAGACGCTGGGCTCCTGAAGCGAGGGTCGCGTCGCTCCCCCCCCCCTTCCCCCGACCCGCCGGACTCCGCCTTCTGCCACCCCTCCTCCTCCTCCTCCCTTCTCTCTCCTCCTCTCTTCTCCTCCTCTTCATCATCATCATCATCATCATCAATCATCATCATCATCATCATCATCATCATCATCATCATCATCATCATCATCATCATCATCCCTCATCCTCATCCTCATCCTCATCCTCATCCCTCATCCTCATTCTCCATCCTCATCTCATCCTCATCCTCCTCCTCCTCCTCCTCCTCCTCCTCATCAGCAGCAGCAGCATCATCATCATCATCATCATCATCATCATCATCATCATCATCATCATAATCCTCCCCCTCCGCCTCCTTCTCCCCCCTCCTCCTTCTCTTCCTCTTTCCTCCTCCCCCTTCTCGATCAGGGTGAGAAACGCTGGCCGCAAAGGTTCCGCTTGCACTCCTCTCATTCCTCTCACCATCGATCGGAGGAGGGCCCGCTGGGACACCGGCGGCTTGCCCGCCCTGCCCAGGTCCGTGCAGAATCGGGCCCCAGACCCCTCCCGGGGGCCACCCCCCTGACCTGCGCTTCGAGGCGGGCCCGGGCGTGCCAACGAGGAGCCTCCATGCCCAAAGCAGACGAGCAAACAGCAGGACTGGGCCGCCGCTGTCTCGACTGGCCCTCCTCCCGTAGGGCGTAGGGCCCACAGGTCGGAGGCGTCGGGCCCGTAGGACCTGCAGGTCGGAGTCGTCCGCAGAAGGGAGGCGCGCCGCGTATACGCGGGAACCAGCCCTATGCGTCTCAGTCCGATGGGTCCTCCGAGACAAGGGCCGCCCTCCGTGGCGTGCTCCACTCTCTTTGGGCCTCCTGGAGGCTTCTCGTCACCACGGCCAGATCCGCGTCGAAAACTGCGCCAAAACTAATTTTGAGCGCTTTTTGGCGACTGGAGACTGAGGGGTCTAGGATGAGGAGGAGGAGGAGGAGGAGGAGGAGGAGGAGGAGGAGGAGGAGGAGGAGGAGGAGGAGGAGGAGGAGGGCGACTGGAGACTGAGGGGTCTAGGATGAGGAGGAGGAGGAGGAGGAGGAGGAGGAGGAGGAGGAGGAGGAGGAGGAGGAGGAGGAGGAGGAGGAGGAGGGGAAGGAGGAGGAGGAGGAGGAGGAAGGAGGAGGATGAGGAGGGGGAGGAGAAGGAACAGGCGGAGGAGGAGGAGGAA